GTGACTGCGACTGGACAGACGGAGGACACTCGAAGGAGGGAGCAGGACAAGGAGGAGGAGGCTGACCAAGAACCTGCTGAAGGAGCGGAACGAAGTACGGCCGCGGCCGCGCAGCGTCTCCAGAACCAGCAGAGACACCAGCGCCAGGGTCGTCAGCACCAGCAGCAGCACCAACTCCAGGGTCCTCAGCACCAGCAGCAGCTCCAACTCCAGGGTCCGCAGCACCAGCAGCAGCTCCAACTCCAGGGTCCGCAGCACCAGCAGCAGCTCCAACGCCCGGGTCCGCAGCACCAGCCGCAGCTCCAACTCCAGGGTCCGCAGCACCAGCAGCACCTCCAGGAGTAGCAGTACCTCCAGCAGCTCCAACAGCAATAGCACCATCAGCACCTCCAGCAACTCCAGCAGCACCAGCAGCACCACCAGTAGCAGCAGCACGTCCAGCAGCTCCAGCAGCTCCAGCACCAGCAGTACCTCCAGCAGCGCCAGCAGCACCGCCAGCAGCAGCACCTCCAGCAGCTCCAGCACCAGCAGCACCTCCACTAGCACCAGCAGCACCGCCAGCAGCAGCAGCACCTCCAGCTCCAGGGTCCGCGACACTAGGAGCGCCACTCCGGAGACTGCAGCGCCGTGCGTACCACTCTCGGAGCCGCTGGGGAGAGGGTAGCTCCCGCCTAGGAGGGGAAGCACTAGCCCCAGCTCCAGCAGTACTCCTAGCTCCAGAAGCACCTCTCCTGAGGCTGCAGTACTGTAAGTACCACTCACGCAGCTGCTGTGAGGAGAGAGCTCCTCCAGGTGTAGCACTCCCAGGCGCAGCACCTCCAGACTCAGCACCCCCAGACTCAGCACCCGCAGGCTCCGCACCCCCAGGCTCAGCACCCCCAGACTCCGCACCCCCAGGCTCCGCACCCCCAGGCTCCGCACCCCCAGGCTCCGCACGCTCAGGCTCAGCACCCTCAGCAGGACGAGAGTCGACAGCTACCTCGACAGGCTCAACCGGGTCTACCTGGGACACACCTGAGGGAGCAGCACCCTGAGGGGGGAGGGGGTCTACCACAGCAGCACCTGGCGCGAGGAAGAGAGGCGGGGGGGGAAGCAGGGCAGTGCGGTAGGGGAAGAGGCGGTAGTAGGGGACGGACTCGTCGAACGTGACGTCCTGAGAAGGCAGGACACTGCGCGAGGTGGGGTGGTAAAACTGCCAACCAGACGCGTCCGGGACAAAGCCAAGGAAGACACAAGGAACAGCGCGGGAGGAGAGCTTGTCCGCAGACGTATCGCGGACAAAAGCTCGAGATCCCCAGACCCGAAAGCGTGACGCATCGCCAACCTCTCCCGTCCAACGCAGTGTCGGCGAAGTCTCCGAAACGGAGACACGGGGCCAGAGGTTGAGCTGATGCGCAGCGTAGCGGACCGCAAACGGCCACAGAAAGTGGGGGGCAGCCGCATGGATCAAGGAGGTACGAGCGACCTCCATGACCAAGCCAATGCGGCGCTCAGCAACCCCATTCTGCTGTGGAGAGGCCGGAAGCGTGAACGACTGGCGAATGCCGTGCTCCGCATAGTAGGCTGCCAAGAGGTCGGAGGAGAACTCACCACCTCTGTCAGAGTGCAAGCGCAGGACAGGAAAGTCCGAGTGGAAACGCTCGCTGAGCTGGAGACGAGAAGCGCGGATCCAAGGGATCAAAACATCAGGGACCTCACCCTTGGTGCGCAAGGGGAAGACCGTGGTGTAGCGCGAGTAGTCGTCAACAACTATCAGGAAGTACCTCTCCTGACCCTGACCACAGACGCGGGCTGGGCCCCACACGTCCATGTGGAGCGTCTGCAAGGGAGCAGTCGTCGGGGGAAACGAGGAGGAGTGAGGAGCGGCGCGCTGCCGCCCCTCGACACAGGGAAGACAGGGAGGAGCAGGCGAGGGTGGGAGGGGAGGGAGAACCCTGGGAAGACCAGAGACAAGGTACCATTTGTGCATGGCACGAAGGCGCTGCACGGACGGGTGACCAAGTCGGTGGTGCCAGAGGACGGTCTCGTGCGCCAGAGAGCGACACGAGCAGGGGGCCGACAGCTGACCTGACGCAGACGCAGACGCAGCTACCTGAGGGGACTCAGTGGTCAGTGTGTACAGGTCCGACCCCGGCTGCCGAGTGAAGGTAGCCAGGTGACGGCCCGTCCGAGCACACGTGCAGTGTGTCACGCTCTCGTAGGCAGGGGTGAACTGGTGAACACCCCCGTCCTGGAGCGCACAACCCGCCACCAAGTTCGTAGAGAACGAGGGGAGGTGGAGACCTGACAGTGTGCCCGACGGGACCGCAGGACAAGGAAGGACAGTGGAGGAGGTCGCAATGACCGGACCCCCAGAGGGGTCAGCGAGAGAGACAGCAACTGGCCGAGCAAGCGGCTCAAGGGTAGTGCGGTCACGAAAGAAACAGCGAGAAGCACCTGAGTCCAGTGTGAAGGTGTGCAGTGCCTCAGTCGACTCAGTACCAGGGGGGGCAGACTCACTAGCACCTAGAGCAGCAGCCTCACCAGCACCTGGGGTAGCAGACACGCGAGTACCGGGAGTGGTAGCCTCACCAGCACCTAGGGCAACAGACGCACTAGCACCTAGAGCGGCAGCCTCACTCACAGGACACGGCAGCTGCACCTGTCCACTACCAGAAGCTCCCGAACGACGCACTCCAGAGCGACTACCACTACGGCCACCCCGACAGCCCCAACTGGCGTACCACTCACAAAGCTGCTGGGGCGAAAGAGGACACGACAGCTGCACCTGTCCACTACCAGAAGCTCCCGACCGACCCACTCGAGAGCGACTACCACCACGGCCACCCCGACAGCCCCAACTAGCGTACCACTCACGAAGCTGCTGGGGCGTGAGGGACTCACGCGCACGGCCCTGGAGCTGCATCTGGCCACGCCAGGAGCAGCAGTAGCAGCAGTAGCGGCAGTAACAGCAGTAACAGTAGGAGCAGTAGAGGCAGTAGCAGCAGTAGTAGTGGTAGCAGTGCGGGCAGGGTAATGCTCACCAGTGGTCGGCGCGGTAGGCGCAAGACGGTGGCGACAGCGGGGCCGCTACAACTGCAGGGCGGGGCTGGGCCGCGGCAGGGAGCTCCGCGGCAGCTGCTGCAGGGCGGGGCCGGGCCGCGACGGCAGCTGCTCCAGGGGTCAGGGGCGGCTGCTGCAGGGGCGGCTGCTCCAGTGGCCAGGGGCGGCTCTTGAAGTGGCGGCTGGTCCAAGGGCCAGGGACGGCTGCTGCAGGGGCGGCTGCTCCAAGGGCCAGGGGCGGCTCTTGCAGTGGCGGCTGCTCCAGGGGCCAGGGGCGGCTGCTGCAGGGGCGGCTGCTCCAGGGTCCAGGGGCGGCTCCTGCTGTGGTGGCTGCTCCAGGTGGCCAGGGGCGGCTGCTGCAGGGGCGGCTGCTCCAGGGTCCAGGGGCGGCTGTAGGTGCAGCTGCTCCAGAGGCCAGGGGCGGCTGCTGTAGGTGCGGCTGCTCTAGGGGCCAGGGGCGGCCGTCCCAAGGGCGGGCGCGGGGTAGGGCAGGGCGCCACGGTGAGCAGGGGCGACGCGCGGGTCGCGCGCGGGGGCGACGCGACGAGGCAGGGGCGACGCGTGCGGGTCCCGCAGCTGCGTCGCGACGAGGCGGGGGCGACGCGCGGGTCCCGCAGCTGCGTCGCGACGAGGCGGGGGCGACGCGCGGGTCCCGCAGCTGCGTCGCGACGAGGCGGGGGCGACGCGCGGGTCCCGCAGCTGCGTCGCGACGAGGCGGGGGCGACGCGCGGGTCCCGCAGCTGCGTCGCGACGAGGCGGGGGCGACGCGCGGGTCCCGTAAGGGCGTCGCGAAGGGGCAGGGGGGCGACGCGCACGGGTTCCGGCGGGCTGCAGGCGTCGGCGTAAAGTAGCCGCGGCGCGCGGGTCACGGCCTGCGCGTGAGCGGCCTACGGGCGGCGTACGGGCCGCCACTGGGCTGCCTACGGGCTGCCTACGGGCTGCCTACGGACGGCAGCGGCCTACGGGCGGCGTACAGGCTGCCTACGGGCGGCAGCGGCCTACGGGCGGCGTACTGGCGGCCTACGGGTGGCCGCGGCCTACGGGCTGCGTACGGGCAGCGTAAGGGCGGCCTACGGGCGACGGCAGGCGACGGGCAGCCTACGGGCGATGGGCAGCCTACGGGCGGCGGCCACTAGGGCGCACGACGGCGCTAGTAGGGGCGCTCGACGGCGCTAGAAGGGGCGCTCGACGGCGCTAGGAGGGGCGCTCGACGGCGCAAGAAGGGGCGCTCGACGGCGCGAGAAGGGGCGCTCGACGGCGCGGTGGAACGGTGGGCCCAAACCAATTTCGGTCCTAGGTCCTGACCTAGGCGTCGGATACCATGTTGTAAAGTAGAGGTGAACGAGAATGGATGAAACTAGGTAGGAGGGGGATACAAGTAGGAAACCCTAACAAAGTTGTACCCCCTAAGGCTAAACCCACTATAGCCTACACAATTTAAACATATAATGTTTGACAGAAACTACCCTTCACTAGGGCCTACACCAAGTGAAATGTTACACTACACAAAGTAATGTAACTATCTTCAATATCTTGAGGTGTACCCTTTTTGGCGAGCTTCGAAATCACTTGAGGCTTGACACCAAGGCTCGGGCTCTTCATCACAAACTCATCCTTGAGTTCTTGATGGGTCTGCTGCACACACCTGCGACACGCCGAACGTTCGACACAGGACAGAATAGAAACCGCGCACGACAAAATAGAAACCGCGCGCGAGACACAAACGACCGCGTAACACGCGTCTAGCGATAACTCGCTATTGACTCGACACACACACTCGACATCATGAATCAACATTCACACACAATTATAAGCATGAAATATATATTATACCATGCCCTCATACCATTCCATACACACACACATTCACACACACGGACAACAAGCCGAGTGCAAACCGTAGGGTTGCACCAACAGTATCCTCCTGGTCGTATGCTCGCTGTTGCCTTGCCCCAAACTCAGGTGAAGGGACCACGTTTGAAGTGGAGGAAGTGGCTCCTGGGGAGGAGGAAGTGGCTGCTGGGGAGGAGGAAGTGGCTGCTGGGGAGGAGGAAGTGGCTGCTGAGGACTATGAAGTGGAACATGACCTCGAATTCGTGTTTGGGTGGATGGCTTCTGCTCTGGATGACTAAGAAGGGGGACAGGACCTCGAATTTATGCTGGGAGGATGGATTCTGCTCTAGAAGACCTTGAAGAGGGTCAGGAGGAGGAGGAGAAAGAAGAGGAGGAGGGAGGAGGGGAGGAGGGGGGTCAGGGAGGTGAGGAGGGAGGAGCACGGAAACCCGGAGCAAACCAGCCAATCAGGGATGACACCACCAAGGCCAAGGCAGAGGATTGCAGCGGCAAGGAACCCGCATTCGCCACCTTCCCATCGCCCTCCACTCGCAGCTGTAACGACCCGGGCTACCGGCAGAGGCCAGCAGCGCGCAGGGAGAAGGAGCAGGAGGAGGAGGAGGAGGAGGAGGAGGAGGAGGAGGAGGAGGAGGAGGAGGAGGAGGACGAGGAGGAGGAGGAGGACGACGAGGAGGACGAGGAGGACGAGGACGAGGAGGAGGACGAGGACGAGGAGGAGGAGGAGGAGGAGGAGGAGGAGGAGGAGGAGGGGGGGGGGAGGAGGGGGGGGGAGGAGGGGGGGGGAGGAGGGGGAGGAGGAGGGGGGGAGGAGGAGGAGGAGGAGGAGGAGGAGGAGGAGGAGGAGGGGGGGGGGGAGGAGGAGGGGGAGGAGGAGGGGGAGGAGGAGGGGGAGGAGGAGGGGGAGGAGGGGGAGGAGGAGGGGGAGGAGGAGGGGGAGGAGGGGGGGGGAGGAGGGGGGGGAGGAGGGGGGGAGGAGGAGGGGGAGGAGGAGGGGGGGGAGGAGGAGGGGGAGGAGGAGGGGGGGGAGGAGGGGGGGAGGAGGGGGGGGAGGAGGGGGGGGGAGGAGGGGGGGGAGGGGGGGGGAGGAGGGGGGGGAGGAGGGGGGGAGGAGGAGGGGGAGGAGGAGGGGGGGGAGGAGGAGGGGGAGGAGGAGGGGGGGGGAGGGGGGGGGGAGGAGGGGGGGGAGGAGGGGGGGGGAGGAGGGGGGGGAGGAGGGGGGGGGAGGAGGGGGGGGAGGAGGGGGGGGGAGGAGGGGGGGGGAGGAGGGGGAGGAGGAGGAGGGGGGGGAGGAGGAGGAGGAGGAGGAGGAGGAGGAGGAGGAGGAGGAGGAGGAGGAGGAAGAAGAAGAGGATGTCGTTGAGGTGCCGACGTGGATGGAGATGGAGGTGGATAAGGAAGAAGAATGCCGAGAGGAGGATGGGGAGGACGAGGGAGAGGAATTGAGAAGGGGGTTTATCGGCGGCGGGCAGCAGCGCGCACGAAGAAGTCGAGGCAAGATGTTACGGAGCATCTGACCCAGCTCGCTTGGATGGGTATGCAATGTCTCGTTGTTCCTTCCATCATGTCCATAGAAGAGCAGCTGGCTACCGTGGGCTTGACCCAGGCAGGCCTGGATGCCTAGAGCAAGGGAAGGGGGCAGAAGAGCAAGACGGAGAGGGTGAGGGTGGCGAGTGGGAGCAATGGGAGATGGGGGTGGGAGGGAGTGGTGGGGCGGTAGGAGCTGGTGGAGGAGTGGAGGAGAATGAGGATGAGCTTATCCAGCAGAGGGCGCAGTTTCTTGGTGTCGGGAACCGTGACAAGGCTGACTATTGGGAAGAGAGTAGATTAGGCTGTAGATGATGCAAGGGTGTGCGGGTGAGGGCAGATGCAGTGATGGCAAAGGTTAGGAAAGTGGGGAAGGCGGTCTGGTGTGGATGGTTGTAGTGTGGAGGAGTGATCGATGGGTGGTTATAGTTCCTGGATTCTGAATGTTGCCTTTAGTTTTCTGAAGTTTCTGTTTACAAACATGCTACACAATCCATGCCCTTTTTTCGTATATAGCCTTCTTGTTCAATCTCATTTATCCTTTTGTGTTTTTCACGTACTTGATTTTAGTATCATGACTCTGTCATTGCACCGGTAAAACCAGTACAATAGGGTTAGAAGAATTAGTCCGACTGCACCATCATGAAGAAGAACATGGTAAAACCAGTACACGTTGATGTTAGAGCATGTGATACTTGTTCATGTCAAGTTATGTGCACACATGTGGTTAGTAGCAGTGCAACAACTTATGTGTGAACAGTGCAATAGATTATGTGCACATTCACAGCAAATAATTTACTCTGCAGACCCGTACTACAATCCCAAATCGACACTTGCTGTTTGTTACACCTGAGCAGAGACGTATTATCAAATAATATTGCATTAATTGATACTACGATATTTCTTTTATAACCACCTGCTTCCAGCCCAATGTTTCACACACGATAGAAGCATTGAACGATGAACAATATACTAAGTTGAACACTTTGATCTTCCCCCTTGTTGACACCACGGCCCCCTTGTTGACACCACGGCCCCCTTGTTGACACCACGGCCCCCTGTCAAACATATATCTATGTTTTAGACTTGGGTAGGCTGTAGTGGGGCACTCACTGTAGAGTACAACCCCTTAGGGTTTTCCTTCTTGTATCATTCTCATCTTAGTGAAATCATCCATGCCTAAGTTTCTAAGTTGGTATCTAGAGCAGTAGGTCTTTAGGACCTAAGATTAGGGCCCACCGGTTACCGCGTTACCTCACCTACGGCCTTGCTTGCCTGCCTGCCTTGCCTGCTGCCCGCGCGCGCCTCGGGTGCACGCGCGTGGCCCTTTTTTTTTTCCCCCGCGCGCCGCTTAAGCAGCCCGCGAAGCCCGTTTTCGGCCCCGCGCGCCGCGTCAGCCGCCCGCGTAGCCTGCTACCAGCCTGCGCGCCGCTTAAGCCGCCCGCGCGTAACCCGCTTAGGCCCTGCCCGCGCAGCCCGCCGCCGCACGCAACCCGCAGCCGCGCGCAGCCCGTCGCCACGCGCAGCCAGCAGCCGCGCGCAGCCCGCAGCCGCGCGCAGCCCATCGCCACACGCAGCCAGCAGCCGCGCGCAGCCCGCAGCCGCGCCTCGGCTGCTCGCGCGCGCGTCACTCTTTCGCGCGCGGCCGCGTCAGTCGCCAGCGCGGCCCGCCGCCGCGCCGCGCGCCACGTCCGCAGCCTGCACGTCCAGTCGGCCGCGCGCGGCCCGCCGTCGCGTCCAGCCCGCCGTCGCCCCGCGCGCCGCGTCTGTTGCCAGCGTGGCCATCTGCGTGGCCACCTGCGTGGCAACCTGCGTGGCCACCTGCATGGCCACCTGCGTGGCCACCTGCGTGGCCCGCTGCTGCTTAGCGCGCTGCTTTAGGAGCTCGCGTGCGGCCGCTCCTGTCTGCTGTCTCCTGCCTGCTGCCTGCTGCCTCTTGTCTGCTTCCTGCTGCCTCCTGCCTCTGCCAGCTGCCATTATGACGACGCTTAACGTTCTCGCGTTCGAGCCTGACGGTCGCCCCATAGAGTTCGCTGTGTGGTTGGATGATCTCCAACTGTTCCTTCTGACCGATGCCAAAGAGGGCGTTTCTCTGTTCGATTACGTGTCTGGCACGGCCGTTGCTCCTGCTGCCGATGCTCCTGCTCTCGAACGCTCGCAGTGGCAGACCCGCGATGCTGCTGCACGCCTAGCTATTAGGAACCATCTGCCGATTACTGAGCGCGCACATTTCAGCCAGTACAAAACTGCTAAGAAGCTGTACGACGCTGTAGTTGCGCGCTACTCCTCCCCGGCCACTGAAGCCATAGGTCGGCTCATGCTACCCTACCTGTTCCCCGACCTTTCCTCGTTCACCACTGCTGAGGACCTCATTTCCCACCTGCGTGCTACTGACACTCGCTTTCGTGCCGCCCTTTCAGCCGAGTTCTGCGCCGCAACCCCCCCCCCCCCCCCCCCCCCCCCCCCCCCCCCCGATGTACTTCACTCTCTATTTCCTCGTCACCCGCCTCCCTGACACTCTTAGCTCAGTCAGGGACCACTTCCTCGCGCTAGACCCCCCCACTCTCACTATCGACGACTTCGAGAAGCACCTCCTCGCAGCAGAGAAGAATATCCTCGCTGTAGGTGCTGCTCGTGGCACTCCTCGCTCTCCCCTCTTTGAGGGGTGCTCCCCCTCCCCTCTCACCCCCTCCTATGCCTCCGCAGCTGCTGCTCACGACTACCTTGGTGCTGAGGAGGTCGGGGCTGCTTCCGCTCCTAGTGGGAAGCGTCGCAGCGGCAGGGGCGGCAAGGGTAGCAGGGGAGGTGGGGGTGGCGGTGGAGGTGGCGGTGGTGCAGGCGGTGGGGGAGGTGGAGGTGGTGGAGGTGGTCGTGGGGGTGGAGGTGGTGGAGGTGGTGGTGGGGGCGGTAGAGGCACTGGGAGCGGTGGGGGTGGTAGCAGCGGAGGTGGGGGAGGAGGGAGCGGTGGTGGCAGTGGTGGTCAGGGCCAGTAGCAGTCGCAGCCGCAGCAGCATGATTGAGCTAGTGGTTCCGAGTGATAGGGAGGTTATCTCGTTGACTGCCGCCCAACTAGTGGAGGTGCGTATTGTGAAGAAATGAGGAATGAATGAACTAGCACAAGATTGGGTACAAGTAGGAAACCCTAGGAAACTGTACCCCATAGTGTCTACCCCACTATAACCTAGACAAGCTATATGATAAATGTTTGACACACCCCCATAGGCAAAGTGGGGGAGAACAAGGGGTCACAAGACCAGTCAAGCAAAGCAAAGCAAGCTCAGGGTGGATCACAACGTCACCACACAATCCGAGCACAAGAGCAAGGCCACAAGGCCAGTTCACATGCAAGATCATATATAAAGGTAAACAGGCAAGTGCAGGTATAGAAAGATCACAGTACAAGCAAGGTCAAGAAGTGAGCAAGTGAGGCCAAGTAGGCACAAGACCTAGCATCGTACAGAAGCGCTGATGATCACCAGGCGGAAGTGCCTTGGTAAAGATATCAGCAGTGTTGGCCTCAGAGGCCACGTAAGCAAGGCGCAGCTGACCACGCTGCTGCATCTCACGAGCAAGGAAGTAGCGAAGAGCAATGTGCTTCGTTCTGTGCTCCAGTCTGTGCTCCCGACACAAGGCCAGCATGGCCTTGTTGTCTACGTACAGAACTGGAGGAGAACGAGGCGGCTCTCCTAGGTCAGTCAGCAGGTAGGTGAGCCAGCGTAGCTCCTGTGCAGCCATGGCCCCCGCGTAGATCTCAGCCTCACAGCTGGAGCCGAGAACAGAGGACGAGCGAGTAGACCGCCACGAATCAGA